ATTTTGTCGTGGTTTTTGCTTTCTCAGTTTTTAATTTGTAATTTTTTTTAATATTCTATATTGTATTTCCCAAATTCTAAAATTTTTGGATGCTTCATTGTGCAATTTTTTAATGTTTGTTTTTTTCCGATTTTTGAAGTATTTTTTAATTTTTTTATTTTAATTGGTTTGCAATTTTGCAATTTTTCATCTTTCAATTTCTCAACTTCGCAACCTTTTGTTTTTCGATTTTTATTTAGTAATTTTCCTTTTTTTTACAAATTTTACATATGTTAATTTTTCAATTTTCATTTCCTCGATTTTTAATTTTAAATAAGTCTTTGATTTTTCAGCGTTGCAACTTGTCTATTTTCTATTTCTCGAATTTTTAAACTTTTCGATGTGTCATTGTTGCAATTTTTCGGTTTTAGTTCGTTCTTTTCCGATTTTTGAACATTTTTTTAATTTTTAGTTATTTTATTTTTTGGTGGTTTGCAATCTTACGGTTTTTCCTTTATGACTTTTTAATTTCTAAGTTTTTCAATTGTTCTATTTCCATTTCCCAAAAATTAAAATAACAAAATTGAAAAATTAAAAAAAAAAATCAAAAATCGGAAAAAATACAAAATTAAAAAATTGCACAATGACGCATCGAAAAATTTAAGAATTTGGGAAATAGAAAATAGAATATTCAAAAAAATTACAAATTAAAAACTGAGAATGGAAAAACTACGACAAAATTAAAATAACTAAAATTAAAAAATTAAAGAATTGTTCAAAAATCGGAAAACGAACTAATGAAAAATCGAAAAATTGCAACAACGAAACATCGAAAAGTTTAAGAATTCGGGCAACAGAAAATAGAAAAATTGAGAAACTTGAAAACTAAAAACTGAGAAAGGAAAAACCGCAAAACTGAAAACGAAAAAATATTAAATCGAGACAATCCAAGAATCGAAAATCGAAAAACTAAAAAGCAGAACACTAAAAAATAAAAAAAAAACAAAAAAGTGAAAAATTCAAATTTCATGGAACCGTAAAATCGAAAAATTAGAAATCTAAAAATTGAAGAAACGAAAACTTCCAATAAAAAACTGAAGTTTCTAAAACTCGGGAAGATCTAAAAATTACAAAATAGGAAAAGCAATTTTTCAATTGATATTTTTCAATGATTTGCTTTTCCAATTTTGTAATTTTTAGATTTTCCCGAGTTTTAGAAACTTCAGTTTTTTATTGGATTTTCAGTTTTACAATTTTCCCGTTTTTAATTTATCCATTTTTTACTTTTTCGTATTTTCAATTTTTCAATTATTCAAATGGAATTTTAATTTTTCGATTTTAAAATTATTCATTTTTTGACATTTTCAATTTTGAATACTCGGTTTTTCAGTTGTTAGATTTTTCAGTTTTTCAAATTTCCCGGTTTTATAGTTATTCGAATTTCCGAATTTTCAAATTTTGCACTTTTAGGTTTTTCAATAATTCAGTTTATTATTTCAGTACCTTTTGGATTTTTAATTTCTTAAGTAGCAATTATTATTTTGCTTTTTTTTTGGTTTTTCAAATTTTTTATATTTAATTTTTCGATTTGTAGTTTTTCTTTTTCTTTATTTCTCAGTTTTGTGCATTTTTCTTCTTTTTTATTTATTAAATTTTATTATTATTTCGTTCAATTAATTTTATGTTTCAGCATAAAATTTTTAATTTTTCAATATTTTAAATATTTGAATTTTTTTATTTTTCTTTTCTTTAATTCTACATTCTTTCAATTATTGTTGATTTTTAGATTTTTTATTGTACAATTTTTAGAATTTAATTTTTCGCTTTTAAAATTTTCCGTTTGTTCAATTTTTCGATTTCTGAATTCTTTGATTTTCAGTTTCTAAATTTTTCCATTTTTCAATTGATATTTTTCAATAAAATATTGAAAAATTAAAAATTTTACGCTGAAACACAAAATTAATTAAACGAAAAACTGAAAAATTAAAATATCTAACAATTTAATAAATAACAAATTTTTAAAATAAAAAAATGTGGAATTGACAATTCAAGAAAAATGCACAAAACTGAGAAATAAAGAAAAAGAAAAACTACAAATCGAAAAATTAAATATAAAAAATTTGAAAAACCAAAAAAAAGCAAAATAATTGGTACTTGAAAAATAAAAAATCCAAAAGGTGCTGAAATAATAAACTGAATTATTGAAAAACCTAAAAGTGGAAAATTTGAAAATTCGGAAAATCGAATAACTATAAAACTGGGAAATTTGAAAAACTGAAAAATCTAACAATTGAAAAACCGAGTATTTAAAATTGAAAATCTCAAAACGAATAATTTTAAAATCGAAAAATCCAAATTCCATTTGAATAATTGAAAAATTGAAAATACGAAAAATAAAAAATGGAAAAAATTAAAAACGGGAAAATTGTAAAATTGAAAATCCAATAAAAAACTGAAGTTTCTAAAACTCGGGAAAATCTAAAAATTACAAAATTGGAAAAGCAAATCATTGAAAAATATCAATTGAAAAATCAAAAAATTCAGAAATCGAAAAATTGAACAAACGGAAAGTTTTAAAAACGGAAAATTAAATTCTAAAAATTGTAAAATAAAAAATCTAAAAATCGAACAATAAATGAAAGAATGTAAAATTAAAGAAAAGAAAATCAAAAAATTCAAATATTTAAAATATTGAAAAATTAAAAATTTTACGATGAAACAAAAAAATGCAAATCAACAATTGATGAAGCGAAAAATTGAAAAATTAAAATATCTAACAATTTAATAATTAAAAAATTTGTGAAATTCATAAATCAAGAAAAATGCCCAAAATTGCGAAATAAAAAAAAGAAAAACTACAAATCGAAAAATTAAACATAAAAATTTGAAAAACCAAAAAAATTGCAAAATAATTGGTATTTAAGAAATTAAAAATCCAAAAGGTGCTGAAACAATAAACTGAATTATTGAAAAACCTAAAAGTGGAAAATTTGAAAAATCGGAAAATCGAATAACTATAAAACCGGGAAACTTGAAAAACTGAAAAATTTAACAATTGAAAAACCGAGTATTTAAAATTGAAAATCTCAAAAGGAATAATTTTAAAATCGAAAAATTAAAATTCCATTTGAATAATTGAAAAATTGAAAATACGAAAAAGTAAAAAATGGAAAAATTAAAAACGGGAAAATTGTAAAATTGAAAATCCAATAAAAAACTGAAGTTTCTAAAACTCGGGAAAATCTAAAAATTACAAAATTGGAAAAGCAAATCATTGAAAAATAGCAATTGAAAAATCGGAAAATTGAGAAACTAAAAATCAAAAATCAGAAATCGAAAAATTGAACAAGCGGAAAATTAAATTCTAAAAATTGTAAAATAAAAAATCTAAAAATCGAACAATAGTTGAAAGAATGTAGAATTAAAAAAAAGGAAAATCAAAAAATTCAAATATTTAAAATATTGAAAAATTAAAAATTTCACGCTGAAACATAAAAAAATGCAAATCAAAAATTGATGAAACGAAAAATTGAAATATTAAAATACATATCTAACAATTTAATAAAAAAATAAATAAAATAAAAAAATGTGGAACTGACAATTCAAGATGAAAAACTACAAATTGAAAAATTAAATATAAAAAATTTGAAAAACCAAAAAAAAAATGGAAAATAATTGGTACTTAAGAAATTAAAAATCCAAAAGTTGCTGAAATAATAAAGTGAATTATTGAAAAACCTAAAAGTGGAAAATTTGAAAAATTGGGAAAATCGAATAACTATAAAACTGGGAAATTTGAAAAACTGAAAAATCTAACAATTGAAAAACCGAGTATCTAAAATTGAAAATCTCAAAACGAATAATTTTAAATCGAAAAATTCAAATTCCAATTGAATAATTGAAAAATTGAAAATACGAAAAAGTAAAAAATGGAAAAATTAAAAACGGGAAAATTGTAAAACTGAAGTTTCTAAAACTCGGGCAAATCTAAAAATTACAAAATTGGAAAAGCAAATCATTGAAAAATATCAATTGAAAAATCGAAAAATTTAGAAACTAAAAATCAAAAAATTCAGAAAACGAAAAATTGAACAAACGGAGAATTTTAAAAGCGAAAAATTACATTTTGAAAATTGTAAAATAAAAAATCTAAAAATCGAACAATAGTTGAAAGAATGTAGAATTAAAGAAAAGAAAAATCAAAAAATTCAAATAATAACAATTTTACGCTGAAACATAAAAAATGCAAATCAACAATTGATGAAACGAAAAATTGAAAAATTAAAATATCTAACAATTTAATAAATAACAAATTTGTGAAATTCACAAACCAAGAAAAATGCCCAAAATTATGAAACAAAAAAAAGAAAAACTACAAATCGAAAAATTAAATATAAAAAATTTGAAAAACCTAAAAGTGGAAAATTTGAAAATTCGGAAAATCGAATAAAACAATTTTTAATTTTGCTATAATTTCGTTCCCGTTGTGCAGTGGAACTCCATCTGATCGAAACACATCGTACCACTATAGATATATATAATCTATAAAAACGTAAAATTACTAAGCAAAAATCGAAAAACCAAAAGTCGAAAAATTGAAAATCGAGAAACTAAAAAATTAAAAACTGAGGAGAAATTCAAAAACTTGGAAATTCCAAATTTGAAAAAGCTAAAAATTTGAAATCGACAACTAGAAAAATTGCAAATCGCTTGGTCACTGTAGATACAAACCCTGAGAAGCCAAGGAAGTATTGAAATCGAGCCCATCGGGCGACTGTCCACTGTTATGTTTTTCGACGTTTCATGCCCCCAGAATACGAAAATAAAGGTCTCTCGTTTCCATCCATCTGGCGTCTGCTCTGTCCGCGTCTGCGTCCATATTTCTTATACAGATAATCCCTAAAACTACTGGACCGATTGTTGTAAAATTTTATACATACATTAGGAACATCGTATGGCGTCACCTCCAGCTTTTACAATAGTAAATATTATTTAAATTTTATAAAATAATAACTTCCATGTGTAATTTTATACTTTTTATTTTCGTTGAAAAGTATTTACAACTTCATGGTTCTAACTGTTGGCAAAATATTCCGAGCTTATTATTCGTAGTGCTTTATTTATCTTTCAAGGGTGAATTCCCACGTCGGCCATGTTGATGCAACCCTTTTTCGGGAAGCAAATGATATTGCGATACACTTGCACTGGTCTGACCGTCGGATTACTATACAGAATTTCCGTTTCGAGGTCCACAGCGTCCTAAAAACGAAAAAACTTGTAGTATCACAATTAAAACAACGCACTTGGAGATTGAAATCTTTACTTTCAAGGAAAGATTTAATCTCAGATTTTGTCACAATATTTATGTTTTTGGCTAGCACCTCTCAAAATTGTTTGTTTTTAATCTAACCGTCATAAACAGTTATTTTCCGCTATTAAAACCACCCTCAACACAAAGAGCCTCACTCCCACCCACACTTCCCAACCCATCGATCGCCCATTAAACGGTCACTTTAAACCCCGGAAAAAACCAAAAGCGCAGTCACACTACGTTGCACAAAACCTAATCTCGTTTTTATCGCAATGACGTCAAAATTCGCGAGTGACCTTGACAAGTTGATTGACGGTACTTGAAGCTGCCAAACTCACCATCGTTTCCAGAGTGGATTTGGCTAGCTCTTGAGGCTCATCGGGGGCGGGGTTGTCGAAATCTGGAGACACTGGAAGCGAAAATTGTATTGCGGTACTACCAAGGATAAACGTACCTGGAGCAGCTGCCACAAGGGCGAGAATTGGTAGCAACATGAGCAGCTTCATGTTTAGACTTGGCACGAGTTATCTTTAGGATTCAAATTTATTACGGGTGCGGCTATAAAAATATTATCTCGGTATGTTGAGGGATTAGAAGTACCGAAATAGCAGCAAAGGTAGCAAAGTACGATTGCGATTGTGGAAACTATTTTTATTAGATAGATTACACTTTTACTTACACCGTCTTCGGGTACCACACAATTTTTGCTCTTAATAAAAACGTCCCTAAAATAATCCAATAATTTACGGGCTGATAAAGGAAAGAAAAGGGAAAATTGGAGCTTTATCAAATACGTGATCTCGGGACGCACTTTAACGCCCTTTTATTGATTGGAAACATCCCGGCCCTTATTTTCGATGTCCGCTGACTTCATACATCAAAGAAAATTCAAGAAACAACCAAATGCAATAATGCAGCAGTTTATTAAAAAAAAAGAAAACAGTATTCTCTGGGTATCTAAGGAGATACAGTTTTATAGTGTGTATATGGCAGTTGTGGTTGAAACTAAGAGAAACAACGTTAATTAATACGATGGAGGAACTTCCTGGTTGTCTGAAAGCAGAGCCGGATTAATACTGTGGGGTCGGACCATCATCCTTGCTCGCCGAAGGCTGTAGTGGGATCCGTGGAATTCGCCCCAGTACATCCCTTGGTACTGGTGGTCGTCGGAGGTTGGACCTTTGAGGTATTTACCGTTGAGGTTGCTGGTGTCGCAATTTCGGTACCACCATGCTCCGGCTGGAAACAATGTTTTTGTTAGTTTTAGTGGTACGATGTGTTTCGATCAGATGGCGCTCCACTGCAAAACGGGAACGGAATTATAGAAAAATTAAAAATTGTGTATGTGTTCGAGTTGATAATGTTGCAATTTTTCGATTTTTCCCATTTTTCAATAATTTATTTTTTTATTTCAGCATCTTTTGGATTTTTAATTTCTTAATTATTTAATTATATAATTTTTCGATTTTTGATTTTAACTCTTTCAATTTTTCGATTTATAGTTTTTCTTTTTTATTTCACAATTTTTTAAATAAAAAATTCCACATTTTTTGATTTTAGAATTTTTTTTTTATTTTTCATTTTTTTGAGTTTTTTTATTCTTTAGTTTCTCGATTTTTAATTTGTCGATTTTTCAATTTTTCGTTTCATCAATTTTTGATTTGCAATTTTTTAGGGTTCAGCGTAAAAATCAGTTTTTCAAAATTTGAATTTTTTGATTTTTTGGTTTATTAATTTTACGTTTTTATAACTATTGTTCGATTTTTCAACTGGATTTTTATTTTTTTCAATTTTTAGAATTTCCACTTTTTCGATTTTTATTTTTTTGAATTTTCGGTGTTTCAGTATGACTATTTTTCGATTTTTCAATTTTTCGTTTTTTATTTTGGCAATTTTTGGATTATCAATTTTACAATTTCCCCGTTTTAATTTTTCCATTTTTCTCATTTTTGAGTCGTTGCATTTTCGACTTCTTAGTTTTTCGATTTTTTTGCAGTTTTTTTTTTGATTTTTTAAAATTTTCAATTTTTGTTTTCAACATTTTCAATTTTTCGTTTCTTCAATTTTTAAATTTCTAATTTTTCGATTTTACGGTTCCATAAAATTTGAATTTTTCACTTTTTGTTTTTTTTTAATCTTTTAGTGTTCTGCTTTTTAGTTTTTCGATTTTTCAATTTTTCGTTTCATCAACTTTTGATTTGCAATTTTTCAAGACTTGAATTTTTTTATTTTACGTTTTCTTTTAATTTCACGTTTTTGCAACCAATAATCGATTTTTCAGATGGATTTTTTATTTTTTCAATTTGTAGAATTTTCAATTTTTTGATTTTTAATTTTTTGAGTTTTCAATTTTTTAAAACTTTTCGGTTATTCAGTTTTCCAAATTTTCGTTTTTTTATTTTGGCATTTTTTGAATTTTCAATTTCCCGATTTTTGAGTTGTTGCATTTTTTGACTTTCAATTTTTTTGGTTTTTAAAATTTTTGATATTTATCAATCAATTTTATTTTTTCAGTATCAATTTTGAAATTACATATTTTATTTTTCAATTTTACAATGTTTCACTTTTCAATTTTTACTTAGATATTTAATTTTTCGTTTGCAAAAAATTAAAAATTGGGAATATTGAAAAATACAAAATTTCCAAAAACGAATAACTGTAAAATCCTGTAAACTGTAAAATTGGAAAAAGAAATATTGAAAAAATGAAAAATGAAAAATTCTAAAACCGAAAATTTGAAAAATCAAAACTGAAAAATTGAAAAAATATTGAATTCAAAAAATTACAAAAAATTGATTAAAAAAAATGAAAAACCGAAAAATAATAAAAATTTAAATAAAAATTGAGGAATGAAGGAATCGAAAAATTATATTTTAATGGCAAACAAAAATTAAAAAAATTGAAAAATAAAGAAATTGACAACTCGATAAACTGAAAAATTGAAGAGTCGAAAAATCGAAAAAAAGTCAAAAAATTAAAAATCGAATCTTCAAAAGTGGAAAATCGAAAAATTGAAAAATCGAGAAACTAAAATTGAGGAATCGAAAAATTATTTAATGGGAAATTAAAAATTCGAAAAATTTAAAAATAAAAAAATTGTAAAATCGAAAAATTGTAATACCCAGAAATCAAGAAATTGAAAAATTGAGAAATTGAAATTAGGAATCGAAAAATTATAATTTAATGGGAAACAAAAATTCGAAAAATTGAAAAATAAAATAACTGACAACTCGATAAACTGAAAAATTGAAGAATCGAAAAATCGAAAAATAGTCAAAAAATTAAAAATCGAATCTTCAAAAGTGGAAAATCGAAAAATTGAAAAATCGAGAAACTAAAATTGAGGAATCGAAAAATTATTTAATGGGAAATTAAAAATTCGAAAAATTTAAAAACAAAAAAAATGTAAAATCGAAAAATTCTAAAACCCAGATATTCAGAAATCAAGAAATTGAAAAATTGAGAAATTAAAATTAGGAATCGAAAAATTATAATATAATGGGAAACAAAAATTCGAAAAATTAAAAAATAAAATAATTGAAACATCAAAAACTGAAGAATCGATCAATTAACAAACGAAGAATCGAAAACTCGAAAAACTGAATTAATAGTCGAGACATTAAAAAATTTAATATTCCAAAGTGGAAAACCCAAAAATCGAGAAATCGAAAAATTGTAAAACCTAGAAATTCAGAAATCAAAAAATTGAAAAATCGAGAAACTAAAATTGAGGAATCGAAAAATTATTTAATGGGAAATTAAAAATTCGAAAAATTGAAAAATAAAATTGACAACTCGATAAACTGAAAAATTGAAGAATCGAAAAATCGGAAAATAGTCAAAAAATTAAAAATCGAATTTTCAAAAGAGGAAAATCGAAAAATTGAGAAATCAAGAAATTGAAAAATCGAGAAACTAAAATTGAGGAATCGAAAAATTATTTAATGGGAAATTAAAAATTCGAAAAATTGAAAAATCGAGAAACTAAAATTGAGGAATCAAAAAATTATTTAATGGGAAATTTAAAATTCGAAAAATTTAAAAATAAAAAAATTGTAAAATCGAAAAATTGTAAAACCCAGAAATTCAGAAATCAAGAAATTGAAAAATTGAGAAATTAAAATTAGAAATAGAAAAATTATAATTTAATGGGAAACAAAAATTCAAAAAATTGAAAAATAAAAAAATTGACAACTCGATAAACTGAAAAATTGAAGAATCGTAAAATGGGAAAATAGTCAAAAAATTAAAAATCGAATTTTCAAAAGTGGAAAATCGAAAATTTGAAAAATCAAGAAACTGAAAAATCGAGAAACTAAAATTGAGTAATCGAAAAATTATTGAATGGGAAATTAAAAATTCAAAAAATTTAAAAATAAAAAAATTGTAATATCGCAATATTCGAAAATGAAAAATCGTCTAATTGAAAAATCAAAAAATGGGTCATCGGGAAATTGGAAAATGGAAAAATTGTAATATTGAGTAACCCAAAAATCGCAAAAATTAAAAGTTGAGAAATCGATGAATCGAAAAATTAAAAATTAAAAATCAAAAACTTGTAAAATCGAAGCACTGAAAAATTGGGAAATTGAAACATTGAGAAATTGAAAAATCAAAAAATTATAAAATCGTAAAACTGAATAGTCAGGAAACTGAAAAATCGAAAAATTGAAAAATAATTAAAATAAAAATTGAAGCATCGAAAAATCTAAAAATTGAAAAATCAGATAATTCAAAAATTCAGAAACTGAATTATTGAAAAATTAAGAGCTTAAAAGCCGGAACATAGAAAAATCGAAAAATTGCAAAATTATAAACTGAAAAATCAAGAAATTGGAAAACCGAAAAACTGGAAAATAAGATAATTGACAAATCGAAAACTTGCAAACTTGTAACATTGAGAATCGAAAAATCGGAAAATTAAAAGCTGAAAAATCGAAAAATCAAAATTGAGAAATCGAAAAATGCAATGGGAAACAAAAATTCGAAAAATTGAAAAATAAAAAAATTGACAACTGGATAAACTGAAAAATTGAAGAGTCGAAAAATCGAAAAACCAAGAAATTGAAAAATCGAAAAATCAAAATTGAGGAATCGAAAACTTATTTAATGGGAAACTAAAAATTCGAAAAATTGAAAAAAAAATTTGTAAAATCGTAACATTCGAAAATCAACAAATTGAAAAATCGTCTAATTGAAAAATCGAAAAGTGGGTCATCGAAAAATTGGAAAATGGAAAAATTGTAACATTGAGTAAGCGAAAGTTCGCAAAAATTAAAAGTTGAGAAATCGATGAATCGAAAAATTAAAAATTGACATATTAAGAAATCAAAAACTTGTAAAATCGAAGCACTGAAAAATTGGGAAGTTGAAACATTGAGAATTTGAAAAATCAAAAAATTAGAAAATCGTAAAACTGAAAAATTAGGAAACTGAAAAATCTAAAAATTGAAAAATAATTAAAATAAAAATCAAAAAATAAGCCATTCAATTGAAAAATTGAAATATCGCCTAACTATAAAATCAAAAATTGAAGCATCGAAAAATCTAAAAATTGAAAAATCAGATAAAAGTAAAAAATTCTGAAACTGAATTATTGAAAAATTAAGAGCTTACAAGCCAGAATATAGAAAAATCTAAAAATTGCAAAATTATAAACTGAAAAATCAAGAAACTGGAAAACCGAAAAACTGAAAAATAAGATAACTTGTAAAATTGAAAAATCAAAAAATTAAAAACAGGAGTTAAAAATCAAAATATTGGGATACCAAAAAATTGCAAAATCGTAAAATTTAAAAACCAAGAAACTGAAAAATCGAATAAAAATAAAAATTTAAAAATTCAGAATTTAAGTAATGAAAACTTCAAAAATTGCCTCACTAAAAAGTCAAAAACTGAAACAGAGAAATTGAAAAATGTAAAAATTGTAAAACCGACTAATCGAAAAATCGAAAAATTGAAAATTAAGAAATCGAAAGATCGAAAAACTAAAAATTGAGGAACTAAAAATCGAAACATGTTTTAAGAAATTATTGTAAAATTGTAAACTTGAATAATCAAGAAACTGAAAAATCGAGAAATTTAAAAATCAAAAAAATTAAAATCGAAAAATTGGGAATTCAAGTAGACCCTGAAAAATTGAAAAATCACCAAATTCAGAAGTGAATCATTGAAAAATTAAGAGCTAAAAAATCGGGATATTGAAAAATTGCAAAATTATAAACCGAAAAATCAAGAAACTGGAAAACGGAAAATTGAAAAATAAGATAATTGAGAAATCGAAACCTTGCAATCCACCAACTGAAAAATGGAAAAATTGTAAAATTGACTAATCAAAAAATCAGAAAATTGAAAGTTGAGAAAACGAAAAATCGAACAGTTAAAAATTGCGGGATTAAAAATCAAAATATTGAGAAATAAAAAAATTGTAAAATCGTAAAATTAAGAAGGCAAGAAAAATTGAAAAAGTTAAAAACAATAAAAAAATTGGGAATTCAGTATTGAAAAATAAAAAATCGTTAAATGAAAAATCAGAAATTGAAACACGGAAAAGTTGAAAAATTGGGAAAATTTGAGAAGTGCAAAAATTGAAAAATCAGATAATCCAAAAATCGGGAAATTGCAAAATTATAATGAAAACCAAGAAACTGGAGAAAATTGAAGAAGAATGCTCATAGTACACAATATAAAATAAAACCCTCTTCACACTTGGGATAAAAAGGCTAACGACTTCTTACTTTTAAAAATTCTGCATTCTCATCCTTAGCGTAAGATACGTTATCTTTCGTTGCTGTTGCGGTGTTAGTAAACGGAAAATGATTTCGGATGTGGGAAGAAAAGATAACACAGATAGCTCCCTGTTACGTTTACAAATTACCTGACCACAGACCACAAGCCAGTCAAGGAACTTACGCTAATAAGTTCATTTAACAGTTAATATAAATAAATAAATAAATGAATTTAAAAATAAGTATACTCACTATGCGCTTGCGCACAACTTCCTTCCTGCCACTCATCCTGATCCAGATCCTTCGTACTAAATTTACTTCCTGCGTGGTACGTCAGCGAATCCCCCGCATCCCCGCTGTACCCCGCCAGCACCTTCAAGGCGTACCCCTCCACTTCGCTCCCCACACTGAACGCCTCATAGTGTGCGTACACCCTCTTCCCCTCCAGGTCCTCCAGTTCTATCAACAACTCGTTGACTTCGGAGCCTATAATTATTAAACCCTCATAATCACAACCCCCTACTCCAAAAAAAAATTAATATACCCGTCAGTTGGTGCAAGTACTCCAACCCCAGCCAGAACTCCCCCCCGAGGTTACCAAACCCGATCTTGTAGCTGTGCCAATTCAAGTAAAAATCCTTGTCACCCTCGTGCCGGTTCTGGATGTAGGTCCAACCACCCCCTCTGGACTCCATTTCGCACACCGCCATGAAAGGTCGAGGGGACAACTCCGGCTGGATTCGATAAATCCCAGAGACATTGTTACCCCCTTCCAGAATTTCCAGACAATTCCGGGGAAAGTCGTCGGAGCCGTGCGACGTCGGGGGGTGCTGCATGAGGTGGTGGTGCTTGACGTCATTGAGGCTGTCGGTGAGGAAGGACTTGGTGACGAGGTTGTCATCCCTATGCATGCAACTTCTAAAAAAAAAAAGTTCTATAGCTGTTAAATTTAGCAAAAGTGGTACTAACTTGGTACTCTCGGCTATTGCAGACACGTTCTTCCTGATATTCCAGATGTCGGCTCTCAGACTTCGCAAAGCGGCCACCACGATTTGCAGACCTTTGCCTAGGTTGTCGATTTTCAGCTCCAGCTGGCCTGGGATGGCTCCATTTTTCGTTCCGGGTTGGTTTGTTTGTGTGTAATGGTGCAACTGGATTCTGAATTCGTCTACCGCTGTATGGACGTCTGTCGTTTGCCATTCTAGGGCGTGGAGGCGGCGGTTGGTTTCCTGTAGTTCCGAATTTAGGTGGTCTGATTTTTCGGCAGTTTGGACTTCCAGTCTTGTGAGTCTGTAGTTGATTTGGCTGATGTCGCAAGTCTAAGGACAGAAATAAAAATGTTAAAGGGGAGCTTACATAGCCGTAAGTTTGACAAGCAACCAAATTAGTATGTGAAAAGTGTAAAGAATTTGTGTGGAAATCATATAAATTTATCGATATTGTTGAAGTGAATACATGAGTGAAACCCGTGTTTTTACAAGTGCATTTGTATTCCTAGAAGAGTACAATAGAAGGTCGCAGATTGTCTGACATTGAGGCGACGTATCAAGGAAAAAACTGATTTATAGAGTCTCCTGTACAGATTTATTATGATGATTATAAGAAAACATGTATTTATTTGTTGTAAAGAACATGTTCAATTTAATTATATTATTTGCTAAGTCGGCTTGTCGACTCGAAGATGTGTATCTGTGCCTTAAGTTCAGTTAAAGCAAGTTGTAAAACAAGCTTTACAATCCGATTTTTTTTCATTTATTTGTTAGATTTTTTTTTAATCTCTCGAGTTGTCAATTTTTGGATTCTTCAATTTTTTGGTTTTGCAGTTTTGATTATCAAGTTTCAAGTTTTAGAATTTTTTATTTTTCCATTTTTAATGTTACTAACTATTTTACAATCTCAGTGTTTCGATTTTTAATTTTTCAATTTTTAAAGTTTCCACTTTAGAATATTAATTTATCGATTCTTTAGGTTTTCGGTTTTTCATGTTTGATTTTTTAAGTTTCAAGTTTTCGATTTTCGGTTTCAGAATTTTTTTATCGATTTTTTAATTTCTTGGCTATCAATATTAGGATTCAGTTCCTTGATTTTTCAATTTTACAATTTTACAATTTTTTCATTCCTCTTTAGTTCGATTTTTAATTTATCAATTTTTAATTTGCGATTTTCGAATTTCGCAATTTTAAAATTTTTCCCTTTTTCAGTTTCTTGATTTCCGGTTTTTCGACTTTTCATTTTAGAATTTTGATTTTTTAATTTATCGGTTTGTCATTTTTCGAATTCTTTGATTTTTCCATTTTCATTTTTGATTTTCAATTTTTCCGTTTTAGGATTTTTTTTCCACTTTTTTCAATTTTTTTCATTTCCAGTTTTACAGTTTAATAGTAATCCATTGTAACAAGTTTTTCAATTCCTCGATATTCGCATTTTTAATTTTTTAATTTTCCGTGTTTCAGTTATTAATTTTTCAATTCACAACACTCGATTTCACAATTTCTCAGTTAATGATTTTCCAATTTTACAAATTTGAAATTTTTTGATTTCTCAATATTTCGATTTTTCAATTCCTCGATTTTTCCATTTTTTGATTTTTAGTTTTTTGATTTTACAAGTTGCTATTTTTCGATTTCTCAGTTTTCCGGTTTTTCAGGTTGTTGATTTGTTGTCAGTTTTACGTTCTTGCAATTTTTTGATTTCTTAATATTTCGATTTTTAATGTCTCAAATTTTAGTTTTTCAATTTTCCATTTCTCAATTTTTAATTTTTCGACTTTTTGATTTCTCAATTTTACAATTTTCTCAATTTCCCGATTTTTAAATTTCTTGATTTTTTAATTTATCCAGTTTTCGGTTCTCCGTTTTCAATTTATCGGTTTGTCAATCTTTGAATTTTTCTGTTCTTTGGTTTTTCATTTTGATTTTTCAAATTTTCGGTTTTAGAATTTTTCATTTTTCATTTTTTCAATTTTACGGATTTCACAATTTTTTGATTTCTCAATGTTTCGAATTTTTAATCTCTCAGTTAATAATTGTTCGTTTTCTCAATTTTTAATTTCGATTGTCCACTTTAGAATCCGATTTTTTAGTTAATTCTTCAGTTTTTCGAGTTTTCGATTCTTTGTTTTCTAATTTATCGATTCTTTAGGTTTTCGGTTTTTCATGTTTGATTTTTTAAGTTTCAAGTTTTCGATTTTCGGTTTCTGAATTTTTTTATCGATTTTTTAATTTCTTGGCTATCAATATTGGGATTCAGTTTCTTGATTTTTCAATTTTATGATTTTACAATTTTTTCATTCCTCTTTAGTTCGATTTTTAATTTATCAATTTTTAATTTTCGATTTTCGAATTTCTCAATTCTAAAATTTTTCCATTTTTCAGTTTCTTGATTTTCAGTTTTTCGACTTTTCATTTTAGAATTTTGATTTTTTAATTTATCGGTTTGTCATTTTTCGAATTCTTTGATTTTTTCATTTTCATTTTTGATTTCCAATTTTTCCGTTTTAGGATTTTTTTTTCACTTTTTTCAATTTTTTCATTTCCAGTTTTACAGTTTAATAATAATCCGTATCAAGTTTTTCAACTCCTCGATATTCGCATTTTTAATTTTTTAATTTTCTGTGTTTCAGTTATTAATTTTTCAATTTACAATACTCGATTTCACAATTTCTCAGTTAATGATTTTCCAATTTTACAATTTTGAAATTTTTTGATTTCTCAATATTTCGATTTTTCAATTCCTCGATTTTTCCATTTTTTGATTTTTAGTTTTTTGATTTTACAAGTTGCAATTTTTCGATTTCTCAGTTTTCCGGTTTTTCAGGTTGTTGATTTGTTGTCAGTTTTACGTTTTTGCAATTTTTTAATTTCTCAATATTTCGATTTTAATGTCTCAAATTTTAGTTTTTCAATTTTCGATTTCTCAATTTTTAATTTTTCGATTTTTTGATTTCTCAATTTTACAATTTTTTCAATTTCCCGATTTTTAAATTTCTTGATTTTTTAATTTATCCAGTTTTCGGTTCTCCGTTTTCAATTTATCGGTTTGTCAATTTTTGAATTTTTCTGTTCTTTGGATTTTCATTTTGATTTTTCATATTTTCGGTTTTGGAATTTTTCATTTTCAATTTTACGGATTTCACAATTTTTTGATTTCTCAATGTTTCGCATTTTTAATCTCTCATTTAATAATTGTTCGTTTTTTCAATTTTTAATTTCGATTGTCCACTTTAGAATCCGATTTTCTAGTTAATTCTGCAGTTTTTCGAGTTTTCGATTCTTCGTTTTTTATTTATCGATTCTTTAGGTTTTTGGTTTTTCATGTTTGATTTTTTAAGTTTCAAGTTTTCGATTTTCGGTTTCTGAATTTTTTTATCGATTTTTTAATTTCTTGGCTATCAATATTGGGATTCAGTTTCTTGATTTTTCAATTTTACGATTTTACAAATTTTTCATTCCTCTTTAGTTCGATTTTTAATTTTTCAATTTTTAATTTCCGATTTTCGGATTTCTCAATTTTAAAATCCATTTTTCTGTTTCTTGATTTCCAGTTTTTCGACTTTTCATTTTAGAATTTTGATTTTTTTAGTTATCGGTTTGTCATTTTTCGAATTCTTTGATTTTTCCATTTTCATTTTTGATTTTCAATTTTTCCGTTTTAGGATTTTTTTTCCACTTTTTTCAATTTTTTCATTTCCAGTTTTACAGTTTAATAATAATCCGTATCAAGTTTTTCAATTTCTGGATATTCGCATTTTTAATTTTTTAATTTTCCGTGTTTCAGTTATTAATTTTTCAATTTACAATACTCGATTTCACAATTTCTCAATTAATGATTTTCCAATTTTACAATTTTGAAATTTTTTGATTTCTCAATATTTCGATTTTTCAATTCCTCGATTTTTCCATTTTTTGATTTTTAGTTTTTTGATTTTACAAGTTTGCAATTTTTCGATTTCTCAGTTTTCCCGTTTTTCAGGTTGTTGATTTGTTGTCAGTTTCACGTTCTTGCAATTTTTTGATTTCTCAATATTTCGATTTTTAACGTCTCAAATTTTAGTTTTTCAATTTTCGATTTCTCAATTTTTAATTTTTCAATTTTTTGATTTCTCAATTGTACAATTTTTTCAATTTCCCGATTTTTAAATTTCTTGATTTTTTAATTTATCTAGTTTTCGGTTCTCCGTTTTCAATTTATCGGTTTGTCAATTTTTGAATTTTTCTGTTCTTTGGTTTTTCATTTTGATTTTTCAAATTTTCGGTTTTAGAATTTTTCATTTTTCATTTTTTCAATTTTTTCATTTTCAATTTTACGGATTTCACAATTTTTTGATTTCTCAGTGTAATTGTTCGTTTTCGCAATTTTTAATTTCGATTGTCCACTATAGATTCCGATTTTTTAGTTAATTCTTCAGTTTTTCGAGTTTTCGATTCTTCGTTTTTTATTTATCGATTCTTTAGGTTTTCGGTTTTTCATGTTTGATTTTTTAAGTTTCAAGTTTTCAATTTTACGATTTTACAATTTTTTCATTCCTCTTTAGTTCGATTTTTAATTTATCAATTTTTAATTTTCGATTTTCGAATTTCTCAATTCTAAAATTTTTCCATTTTTCAGTTTCTTGATTTTCAGTTTTTCGACTTTTCATTTTAGAATTTTGATTTTTAAATTTATCGGTTTGTCATTCTTCGAATTCTTTGATTTTTCCATTTTCATTTTTGATTTTCAATTTTTCCGTTTTAGGATTTTTTTTCCGCTTTTTTCAATTTTTTTCATTTCCAGTTTTACAGTTTAATAATAATCCATTGTAACAAGTTTTTCAATTCCTCGATATTCGCATTTTTAATTTTTTAATTTTCCAAGTTTCAGTTATTAATTTTTCAATTTACAACACTGGATTTCACAATTTCCCAATTAATGATTTTCCAATTTTACAATTTTGAAATTTTTTGATTTCTGAATATGTCGATTTTTCAGTTTTCCGGTTTTTCAGGTTGTTGATTTGTTGTCAGTTTTACGTTTTTGCAATTTTTTAATTTGTTAATATTTCGATTTTTAATTTCTCCGTTTTTAATTTTTCGATTTTTTTATTTCTCTTCAGTTTATTCAATTTCAATTTTTGGATTTTTCAGAATTTTTCATTTTTTTAGTTTCTCCATTTTCAATTTTACGATTTAATAATTACCCGTTGTTTCAAAATTTTCAGTTCAATCAATCAATATTCGCATTTTTAATAACCTCAATTTTTAATTTTCCAATTTTTCGATATTTCAATAATTATTATTGATTTTTTCAATTGCCAAATTTTTCAATTTTTTAATACCTGATT